CCTGAATCGCCCCCCACCCCCAATAACTGAGGTCCGGGAATCAGCTTCCATAGTGGGGGAACCTCCTCTTCCCTTAATACTGTCCGACCCGCTCCAGTGTCAGTCAAGCAGCGGAACATTTCCCCTGCTATGAAGATGTCCATTTTGGGCTTAATTCCCGGGATTATGGGGACTGTCCAGTGGACCCTAGGCAGGCCACTAGGCGAAGTGCCTCCTCTGGGTGACGGGGCTGGAGGGCGCCCGTTATTAGTTTAAAGGTTTCCCCTCAACATCAAATTTGGACTCACAGTCCCTCCGCCAACGGAATCCCTTTCTACACGGGGGCAGGGCATCTAAGGCGGAGTTTGCCCCTTGGTCCAGTCTGAGGGACGTCCCTGCGGGGCACCGGGTCTTATTCGTCCTGTAGGGCACTCTCTTGAGGTGGCCCTGTTGACCACACCCACAGCAAACCCCTCTCCCGTTGCCACTGGAAGAGGCGAGGGCAGTAGGAAGGGTCTCAGGGAGCGAAGCCATTGGGGCCTGCAAGGCCGCGACCAACGACTGTGACTGGTGGGCCTGAGGACCGCCATCCTTCGTGGCCACTGTCCACCTCCCCATAGATCTGTCCTTCCTCCCCGCACAGGCTAGCTGTGGTCTGTGGTCATCCCCTCCCAGACCAGCATCTTGACAAACTGGTCCTGAAGGGGCCCTGGGGGGAATTTCCTTTGGAGACTCTTTTCCTCCCTCTCGATGAAGGTGGCAGCATCCTCGGTAGCCCTCTGAGGAACGCCTGCTATCGGGGGCTCTGGGGGCCTTCCTCCATCTTCTTCCATGCCGCCAGCCCCAGAGCCCGTACCTGCTCCTGGTAGGGGGCAGGAATAGCGCCTGCTGAAGGCCTGTGGGAAACTGACCACTGGACTCCGACAGCATCCCATAAGGGAGAGGGCGGAGAATTCCCGTGGCGGGAGGGGTGCTAATATGGCGGAGGCCGCTCCCCATCCTGACTCTCTACCACGTGTTCTGGGACAGGGCCACTTGGTGTGGAACCCAGAGGACCAGGCCAGGGATCAAAAGGATCCAGGAGGCCATTGTCAGAGGGAGGTCTTAAATCTTTCTCCTCCTGGGCAGCGGGAGGACTGACTCGCTGTGACCCCAGAGGCTCCTTAGCAATGGCTTCCCAGTCAGGGTCCTTGTACTTAGTATAAGATGGCCCCATCTTTCCAGGGACACCCTCACCTTGGAACTCCCTTGGCTTGGCTCGCCGATACTTCCTTGGCGTCTGGGTTTGGCATCCGGGTTCGGCGTCCCTGTTCGGGCGCCAGATGTCAGGGTTTTAGCCCCCCATCTCCTCCTCACCAGCAGGAGAAGTGGGAAAGCACGCCCCGACCAAGAGGAGCCAAGAAAGGTAAAGGTCAACTGGCGGCCCACACCCAGCCCTCCCTCGCTGGAGGACAGTCAGACGCACCAGGGAGACAAGTCGAAGCAGGATCTCGTTTATTGAGGAAGCACACACAGCTTATATACTGCTCAGGAGCCAATCAGGATAAAGGTCAGAGGGTGGAGCGAGTTCACGTGCACACCCACCCCATAGTCTGTAAGGGAAGCACGAGCTGCTCACGAGGGTGGGAGAGTTTTGGACCTATCCTGGAGGTGGTCCGCCTCTTCCGTCACTGGCCACAGCACTGCTTCCTGGCTGGTCACCAGGATCCATCCCAGCCACATGTGCAGCCCCAAGACCGGGAAGCGGGCAGCCAGCCAGGCCCTACAGAGCTGCACCTCTGAATATTTTTATTTATTTAATTATGAATTTATTTTTATCTTGAGTCAGGGTCTCGCTAAGTTGCTGAGGCTGGCCTTAAACTTGTGATCCTCCTGCCTCAGCCTCCCAAGTTCCTGGGATGACAGGGGTTTGCTCTGGCCCCTGGCTTTCCTGTTTCTTTTACTGTGGCTACTACACAGTGCTCAAGTATGTACGTGTCTCCTGTTGGTGTCCCACATTGTATCTCTCTTTCTTGTGGTGGTTATTGTTGTTTTTCTTTTTGCAGGGGGGTGCTGTGGATTGAATTCAGGAGCACTCAACGACTGAACCCCATCCCCAGCCCTATTATGTATTTTTTTTTTAGAAACAGGGTCTCACTGAGTTGCTTACTGCCTTGCTTTTGCTGAGGCTGACTTTGAACTGGTGATCCTCCTGCCTCAGCCTCCTGAGTCCCTGGGATGACAGGTGTGCACCACACCATGTTTTTACTCATCAGAGAGCAGTCTTCTTGGAGGAAGCAGGAGCCAACTCTCATGATGAAAGTAAGTATTACTTCCTGTAGTGATGTCATTGTGGGCTACATAAGCCAGCGTTCCTGTGTTGTCCCCACCATGACCAGCACTGTAATAAATGTCACTTCTCTCATCTTCTCAGAGCAGCAGGATAGGCACTGTCTCTGCATTTCCAAAAAGCCACATAGACCAAGAGACTAAAGACAGGGATCAGGATAGGAGAGCAGCCACCCCCAGCCTGGTGCCTGGGCAATGGCACCTCATGAACCCATCCTCACTGCTGTGCTGGATTTGGAGCTTTTAGGGGTCACAGA